ATATATATTAGGAGGATTATGTCAACTGCCAAGAATCGTGCTAAGAAGTTAATGAAACATAAATCACAGGAAATGGTTCCATATACTTCAGTACCTCTTGAGGACCTCACTATACTCTGATAATTCATCTTCATAATTATGTAATAGCCTGTTATATAGATCCACCACCTCTCTGTCAGTTTGTTGTACTGTGGTGGCTTGAGTGTTGCCGTGAAGATTGGAAGCTATGCCACCAGTATTTCAAGTACCAGTAGGGTCACCCATAGTAGTCAGTGGAACTTCCAGACTAACACAGATTGGGAAGACGGATGGGGCCATCCACTTCTGAAAAATTGGCCAGTGAAAACCTTATGAATAGCAGTGAAACACTGTCTGATATATTACTGGTAAACTTTATGAATAGCAGTGAAACACTGATTTAGTGCTGTGAGATGAGCCCCTCAGGGTGGAAGGCACTTAAAATATGACTGGGAAAGAACTACCTCCTCAAAGTAGAGTTGATCTTAATAGTTGGATGTTGGTGTTAGAAATGATGCCAGAGATTGCATGACAGAATTTTGCAAAATCAACAAATTAATCATTGCAAATACCTTTTTTCAACTACTTAAATGGTGGCTATACACTGAGGTAGGCCTCACCATACGGAATACACTGTAATCAAATCGAATGACTACATCTGTGGAAAGAGGTGATAGAGAAGGTCAGTATCATCAGTCAAAACAAGGCCAGGTACTGACTGTTGAATAGACTATCAGTTGGTCATGCAAGTTCAAAATGAATCTGAAGAAAATTAAAGCAAGTCCACAAAAACCAAAATACAACCTTAATTACAGCTCACCTGAATTTAGAGACCATCTGAAGAACAGATTTGACACGTTGAACACCAGACAAGTTGTAGGATGACATCAAGGACATCAGACATGAAGAGAGCAACTGGTCATTAAAAAGACAGTAAAGGAAGAGAAGACCAAAATTGATGTTGTGGTTACCTAGTGCTGCTACTCAGACAAGAATATACCACAAATGGAATGGCCTTAACAAACAGGAGTTTATTCTTACAATTTGGAGACTTTAAGTCCACGTTCAAGTGCCAGGCTCTAGGGGCTGGGTGAAAGCCCCTCAGACTTGGGCGTCAGCTTTGCCTTCACCTCTTGGCCCACTGAAGCTAGAGGTGTTTCTTCACTCAGACAACTGCTGGCTGCTGAGGCTGAGAAGCCCAAGGTTGACAAAATGGCACAGTCCTTATGTTATCAAACCACACGACAGGCCATTAATTTAAATCCGTTGTAAGTCCCAGTGTCAGCAGAGTATGGCAGGCTGTTCAACAACGACATGGCTACATGCAGGGTCCAACATGCCATAGGCTAGAGACCATTCCCAAAGTTGCTTTTTATATATGGGAAGCAGACCACATACCCAAAGCAGCAACTCAGCTGCTTGTGGTAGAGCCCACCATGGACCTGATTGCCAGTCTCATCATGGGGAATAACTACCACCAACTGCCCAGCCACTCAACCAGGCCCAGCCAAATTGACACACAAACATAACTACCACAATACCACCCCTTGTCAACTTGGCATCTGTACAGATCTTCATTGGGTGGAATCTGTACAGATTTTTCTCACTGGGTGGCCCCAGTCCCCTAGTTCCTCTAAGTGGCAACCTAAGCCCCTTGGCCTGGTGGGCCCGTTCCTCTTCCTCTTGGGCATGGCAGCCCCACCTCCTCACTCTTGGGCAGCAGCTATGGCTCCATCCCACTGACTCACATGAACAAGCAGCCACACACTCAGAACCAAGTTGGTGAAGGCCTGGCTCTTTGAAACCTAAAGGGCTATGGTGGTTCTACTCCCAAAGGCCATGGTCCTACCCTTTCAGGCTGAGGCAGCTCTGCTTCCGTTTCCTTGTCTCTCTGCTTCTGCTGATTAATGCCAAAGGCAACCCACTCTGCTGAAAAACTTCCTGCCCAAAAAGCACTTGGCTTTCTTGCTCTGTGAGCCAGCCAACCTGCTACTCCATCTCATGCTAGTCTCTTTTACCAGTTAATGCCTGAAGGCAACCCACTCTGCCAGTAAGCCGCCTAACCAAAGGCATCAAGCTTTCTCCTCCGTGGGCTGGTAAGGCTGTTGCTGTCTCACGCCAGTCTCTGGGCTCTACTCCTGCCATCTCTCATGCCAGTCTCTGGGCTCTGTTCCTGCTATCTCTAATGCTGGTCTCTTGCTCTGCTCCTGGTGTCTGTCATGCCATATGCCATGGTCTCTCTGCCAGAGTCTTGGGTCAAGAACGCACTTCAGTCCCGCTTCCACATTTTAGGTATCTGTCAGAGCAGCACCCCACTCTTGGTACCAAATGTGTTAGACTGGGTACTCTAGAGAAACAAAACCAGTAAAGCTTTTATATATATATATATATATATATATATTTATTTTTTTTTTTTTAATATATATATATATATATACTCCTCGGAAGGAAGATGGGGCAATCTACTTCCGTAGTGATACTGCCTCGGAAACCCAAGGAGGGGTCGCTATGAGTCAGGTCCGACTGGATGGCACATAACAACAACAAATATATATGCACACACACACACAGAGAAAGAGAGAAATTTATCTTAGGAAAATGGCTCACACACTTATGGAAGCTGAAAAGTCCAAAGTTCTTGGATCAAATGTCAAGCTGGAGGCTCTTCCTGACTCACACAGCTGCAGGGGCTGAGGAGCTCAAGGTTAGCAGGCAGTAAGAATGCTGGCTGTTGACTCCAATGGTTGATGAACCCAAGATCTCCAGGATTGTTCGCTCATAGACAGTTGTAGGCAGCACAACAGAATCCCGATCCACAGAAGAGTGTCTCTTTTCCCAGGATGTCCATAAATATACTGGAAGCAGGCCACACCCCTAGGGAAACTCCCTTTCAATGGATTGGCTGCTTAAAACATACTCATCTGATCCCATCATGGGAATAACCAAATCACAACTGCTTAAACCACACAGAATTGTGGTCCAGGCAAGTTGACACACGGCTCCAACTATCACAGATGTCAAAAGAGACTCTGAAACTTCCTCTTGAATGGAGACTAGCTAAAGTGAATGGAAGAAATGATGAAATAAAAGAGATGAACAGAAGATTTCAAAGGGCAGCTTGAGAAGAGAAAGTAAAGTATTATAGTGAAATATCCAAAGACTTGTAGTTAGAAAACCAAAAGGGAAGAACATGCTTGGCATTTTTCAATCTGAAAGATCTGAAAAAAATTTCAAACCTCAAGTTGCAATATTGAAGGATTCTGTGGGAAAAATATTGAATGATGTAGGAAGCATCAAAAAGAAGACATAAGGGAAGCTCAATTGACATAACATACTACACAAAAACATTGTTCTGCATCCTACATTGGTGAGTAGCAACTGGGGTCTTAAAAGCTTACAAGCAACCGTTTAAGATGGAACACTTGATTTCTCCTCATCCGGAGCAAAGAAGAATGAAGAAAACCAAGGACACATGGACATAATTAATCCAAAGAACTAGTGGACCGTGGGAACCTTAGCCAACATGCCCTGAGACCAGAAGAACTAGATGGTGCCCATCTCCTTAAAAGAGGAGATACTAGATAGAATGGGAGAAAAATGTGGAACAAAATTCAGAATCATGAAAAAGACCAGGCTTGCTAATCTGATGGAGACTGGTGAAACCCTGAGACTATGGCCTTTAGTCCCCTTTGGGCCTTAAATTAAACTCACACCTGTGGCTTACAGCCCAACAATGGGCATAGAAGGTGAACACTTACACCAGGTAGGTACACTCCTTAAAAAAGTCAACCATAGATAATCAGAAGGACAGTATTTGTATAGGTAGATAGGTTAGAAGGCAGGGATGCATAGGAAAGAACCAAAGAAAATGTAACCACAGGGATGAAGTGGGAAGACAGCTGGTACATTATGGGGATTGCAATCAATGTCATGAAACAAAATGTATATGAACTGGTATGGAAAATGAATTTGCTATGTATAATTTTACTCAAATCACAATTTTTTAAAAAAGATGGAAGGAATACATAAAGACACCGTATCATAAAGAATTGATCGATGTTCACCCATTTCAGGAAGTGACATATGATCAAGAACTAATGGTATTGCAGGAAAAAGTCAAAGCAGCACTGAAGGAATTGGCAAAAAACAAGGCTTCAGGAATTGATGAAATACTCATTGAAATGTTTCACAAATGGATGCAGCACTTGAGGCACTTATTCATTTATCCCAAGAAATTTAGAAGATAGCTACCTGGCCAACTGAGTGGAAGAGATCTATATTGGTACCCATTCCAAAGAAAGGTGATCCAACAGAATCTAGAAATTACTGAACAATAAATATCATTAGTATCACCAAACCAAAAACCAAAGTCACTGCCATAGAGTCAGTTCCAATTCAGAGTGACCCCCATAGAGTTTCTAAGGTTGTAAATCTGTATGGAAGCAGACTGCTTCATCTTTCTTCCATGGAGCAGCTGTTAGGTTTGAACTGCACACCTCTCCTTATTAGTAGCACGTGTTGTTGTTAGGTGCCCTCAAGTCAGACCCGACTCATAGCGACCCCTCCTTGGGTTTCCAAGGTGGTTTCACTACGGAAGTAGATTGCCCAACCTTCCTTCTGAGGAATGGCTGGTGGGTTTGAATTGCCAGCCTCTGGTTAGCAGCTGAGTGCCTCAGGCACTACGCTACCAGAGCTCCTGTTAATAGCACATGCAAGTAAAATTTTGCTGAAGATAATTAAAAAATGGTTACAGCAGTGTATTGACTGGGAACTTCCAGAAATTCAAGCTGGATCCAGAAGATTTGTGGAAGGAGGTATTGCTGGTATCAGATGGATCTTGGCTGAAATCAAAGAATATCAAAAAGATGTTTACCTGTGTTTTATTGACTCTGCAGAAGCATCTGACTGTGTGGATCATAACAAATTACGGTTTGCATCATTGAAGAATGGGAATTCCAGAACACTTAACTTGTGCTCATGAGGAACCTGTACATAGACCAAGATGCTGTCATTCAAATAGAATAAGGGGGACTGCATGCATGGATTAAAATCATGAAAGTGTGCATCAGCATTGTATCTTTTCACCATACTTATTCAGTCTGTATGCTGAGCAGTTAATTTAGGAAGCTGGACTATATGGAGAACAACAAACACAGCATCAGGACTGAAAAAGGAATCATTAACAAAGTACACTAAGTAGATTACACAACCTTGCTTGCTGAAAGTGAAGAAGACTTGAAGCACTCACTGACGACGATCAAAAACTAGTCTTCAGTATGGATTACACCTCAACATGGATAAAACTAAAATCTTCACAACTAGGTCAGTAAGCAGCATCAGGATAAATGGAGAAAAGATTGACATTGTCAGGGATTTAATTTTACTTGGATCCATAATCAACACACATGGAAGCAGCAGTCATGAAATCACACGTATTGCACTGGGCAAATCTGCTTCAGTAAAACTCTTTAAAGTGTTAAGGAGCAAAGATGTCACTCTTAAGACTAAAGTGCACCTAACCCCAGCCATGGTATTTTCGGTCACATTGTATGTATGTGAAAGCTGGACAATGAATAAGGAAGACCAAAGAATTGATCCCTTTGAATTGTGGTGTTGGTGAAGAATAATAAAAATATCACAGACTGCCAGAAGAAAGAACAAATCTGTCCTGGAAGAAGTGCAGCTGGAGTGCTCCTTAGAATTGAGAATAGCCAGACTTGGTCTTACATCCTTTGGTTATGTTGTCAGAAGGGACTATTCTCTGGAAAGGGTATTATGCCTGGTAAAATAGAGGGTCAGCAGGAAAGGGGAAGACCCTCAGTGAGGCAAACTGACACTGTGCTCCCACAGTGGGCTCAAGCATAGCAGCGATTGTGAGGATGGCACAGTACTGGGCAGTGTTTTGTTCTGTTGTATATAGGGTCACTATGAGTTAGAGCCTGCTCAATGGCACTTAACATCCTAATAGATGGAATTATGTTTAGTACTTTGTTATAAGCAGCAATATTTTGTGCTGTGGCAACAGCTTTAGCAATGAAAATAATATGCTGACTAACCTATGTTGTGCGTTTGTAAAGAATTTCTTTTATGACAGCTGGATAAAAGAAATGTTAACTTCAATTGATTCATTGTTTCAAAAGATAACTTGTTCATGTTGTTGTTGTTATGTGCCGTTGAGTCGGACCCAAGTCATAGCGACCCCTCCTTGGGTTTCCCAGGCAGTATCACTATGGAAGTAGATTGCCCCATCTTACTTCCGAGGAGTGGCTGGTGGGTTTGAACCGCCAGCCTTCTGGTTAGCAGTCAAGTGCCCTAGCCACTATGCTACCAGAATTGTTAAATATTCTTACTCATTGTTAAAGCACTTAACTACTAACCAAAGGTCTGCAGTTTGAACCCACCAGTCATTCTGCAGAGAAAAGTGTGGCAGTCTGCTTGTGGCAGTCTGCTTCCATAAAGATTTGCAGCCTTGGAAATTCTATGGGGCAGTTCTACTCTGTCCTGTAGAGTTGCTCTTAGTTGAAATTGAGTTGTCAGCAGTGGTTTTTGGTTGTCTGAAATTTATTAGTAAAAGTTTTTGATGGCATATAAAGTTTGACTTTTATGAGTGTGCAAACATACTTATATATTTTTTTTCCCTCTGAAAAACAGCTTTTGTCCCAGTTTATTTCTCCATTTACTGGATGCATTTATGGAAGGCACCTGACAGGTATTTTGCTTTTTATTATAGTAGTTGAAACTTACATAAGTATTATATAAATCCACTTCTCTCATTTAAGGAGCAAATTTTCAGATAGTGCTGTAAATCGTTACTAGACCAGATAGATACTCAGGGACTGGCTTTTGGAGCTTTAGGAAACTCTCTTTTTAAGCCAGTAGGATTAGTTTTGCATGTCATCTTATGCTCAACTGTGCTAACAACATGTAGAAAACTTAGGCTTTAAAAGAAATTGTCTTCTTGATGTTTTGGAGTGTACTATAATTGTTATTAGACTATTACTTAAACCAGCTGTCTGCAAACTATGACCGATGTGCCAAATACAACCTACCATCTGTTTTTATAAATAGTTTTGTTTACATAGTATCTATGGCTGCTTCTAATCTACAACAGCAGAGTTGAATAGTTATGACAGACTGCATGCCCTGCAGAGTCTAAAATATTATCTGGTCCTTTACAGAAAAAGTTTGCTGACCCTTGATGTAAACAACTCTTATAAATCAAATATTGTCATTTTTTTCTGAATTAAGAATTTGTCTATTTTTTTTCTTTTACAGGTCTTTGTGGGAAGAAACAGAAAGAAATCACTAAAGCAATCAAGAGGGCTCAAATAATGGGTAAGACGAGCTGAACAAATGAATAGAGCTAATCAAAATTTTGTTCATTCATTAACTTTGGTGATGAACTTTAATTTTTTTTTGCAGGTTTTATGCCAGTTACATACAAGGATCCTGTATATCTCAAAGACCCTAAAGTTTGTAACATCAGATATTGGGAATAAATTACATATTATTACCAATAAACTTATTTTACAGTAAGTGGTTATGTGTAATATTGATTCAAATTAAAATTTAACCACCTTTGGGTAGGAAATTAAGAGGTAAGGTAAATGTTAATACCCTATAGATAATAATTTCTTGAAGAACTTTGAAATGTTATGAGGGTGAAAATAGTGTTTGAAGAGTGAGATCCTAAGAGAAGTTTCCCCTCCACACCAGTTAATGTTCATTAAAGAAAACAGGTATTTTCTAGAATGTTCCTGTTTATTGTATTTTATGTTATCTTCGATAAAATTGGTACTTTATGGTGTTACGTACCTAGTCTCCAAATAGGTCATACAATAGCATACCACTGGTACTAGCAGTGATACTAATAGCAAACATGGGAGGTATTGCTTGTTTTGGAATATTTAGACCCAGATTGTGCCTTACAAATGGGACATTAATAAGTACAGGAAAGTAGAATGCTTTTGTAATGTATGGGATACAATGTGACTGACTGTAAAGTTGAAATTGCTCTGAATGATTCCCTAACTAGCAAATATGACTTGTTAGAAGAGTGAGTCTTATCTTTGTAGAGATGTTACTTGGGGATGGTGGTGCTATCACAGGACGAAACATTTATTCTTAGACTAGTCTATACTCAAATCATTAGTGCGTCCTTTGAAATAAACTGATGATTCATACATAATTTATTAGGTCTCTCATTCCAGTGATACAAGCTTATGGCCAGAAGATGGAGAGTAACTGCCAAAAAGTCTTGTAAGTACTCTTTTTCTCTAGTTCATTGAGTACCTTGAAAGTTGGGTCATCACATTCAGTTGTGAAAGTTTAGTTGTCTAATGACATCAGCCAGCTTATTTATGATTGAAGGCTTCGTACTGCTGTCTTAAAAGGTGATGGATCATTGTACAGAGTGTGAGCTAAATATTTTGTTACCTCTCTGTAGCATTTTAGGAGCCCTGGTGCTACAGTGCCTAAGGCATTTGACTGCTAACCAGAAGGCCGGCGGTTCAAACCTACCACCACTCCATGGAAGGAAGACAAGGCAATCTACATCTGTAAAGATTTACTGCCTCAGAAATTCAGTGGGGGGTGCTATTAGAATTAACTCGATAGCAGTGGGTTTGGTTTTGGTTTTTGGTGCTGCAGTGGTTAAGTGCTGCTCAGTGAGAGACAAGGAGCTCTGGTAGCATAGTGCCTAAGGCACCTGACTGCTAACCAGAAGGCTGGCGGGTCAAACCCCAGCCACTCCTCAGAAGGAAGGTTGGGCAATCCTATTTCTGTAGTGATACTGCCTGGGAAACCCAAGGAGAGGGGTTGCTATGAATCGGGGCCGAAACGATGGCACATAGCAACAACAACAAGTGAGAGGACAGCAACCCAAACCAACTACTCCATGTGACACAGATCTTCAGTAAAGATTTACAGCCTTGGAAACCCTATGGGGTAATTCTTCTTTGCCCAGTAGGGTTGCTAGGAGTTGGAATAACTCAACGGCAATGGGTTTGGGTTATAGCATTTTAGGAAATGAAACATTGTATGTGGTTTGTTTTCAGACATGAGTTTGAGCAAGAATGTAAGCAATCCTTGTAAAATCTCCTGAATTATTAACATACTTATATAGGATATTGGCTATTTGTTGCTTCTATTCCTTTTTCTGAGTACCCTGTTTTGTTCATTATTTGGTTGCATTTTCTATAATTATCCATGTTTTATGACATGTTCTGGTGATGTTTGATTTGTAGGTAAATTGGAACAGATGCACACAATACTTATTTAGCCTACCTTTTGTGCAAGGTTCAATGATGCCTTTCAGTGATTTAAAAGCTGCACATTCATCACAAAAAAGTGATTGTGATGAAAAAATTTTTTGCAAGCATAGACTGGTTCAATCATTTTAAAGTGAGGGCAAATTTACATACCATTAAAGGGCACATGTGAGTTGTCCCTAAGTTGGACGTTCAGAACCTGGGGTCTACCTGTAACCAGTAAAATACTACCCTAGCAACAGAAATTCATTATTTGCATAAATCATCTCTGGTATTATGTGGGCTTCATTAACAGTCCATGGTAATGCAGGTTAATACACAGAAAATACAAGTTTTTTGATACGAGGATGAATTTGCTCCATTACCTGGGAAGTATCCAGCAGAAGAAAGCAAAAGTCAAAAGAGTGTTCGGTATTTCACCCATGAGCAAAACCTGGTGATAGCTTCATATGATGTGTGTATTCTCAGTGAAAAACTCTAACTGTGGAGAAGACATTAACTACACCTGCATATACAGCACAACTGTGGAAAAGACAAGAAATATGCATATATAATAAAAGCTCTTAACCCATTCACTGAATTAAATTGGGGTTTATATCCTCACTAAAAATCACAATGAAGCCTTTCACTCCCCTACTGGTGAGTTCTGCACTGCCAATGCCAACTATCATGAACAGGAAGTGTTGTTGCTATTGCTATGAAAACTAAGTAAATGCTTTAGGAAGATAACTAGCTTTAAAAAGAAAAGTTCTCAAATTAGCTGTGGTTAAGATAACTCAAAAGACTGAGGCGGAGGCATGCTGTGAAAATGAAATACACCTGGCCGTATTCTGTATTCTGTAGGTAAGTAGTTTTGCAAGTTTAACTTCTTGCTTCACTTTAAAGAAACTGAAGCTGGGAGTTAAAAAGGCTGGGTAATTGGTGTGATTTACACAGGAATTCCAATGAGTAGACTTGGACTCTTGGAAGAGTTCTGGCCCTATATCAACAAGTTGGCAAAAATGAACATTTCTATTTTGTTAAAATCTTTGTGATATACATTCACATACACATACGTCTATGTGTTTTGTATATCTATATTATCAGTATATATATAGTCCTTGATTCTCTACTTTAACTAGCCAACTGCTGATCCTAAACATACTGGATTAGTAGGCTTCTAATATACTCAGATTTCATATGGAGAGGACTCTGGACTGGAGAGAGATTACTGTTTTGTGTTGCATTATAGCTGTGCCCTAATTAGGGTTGACAGATTTGGCAAATCAGAATAAAGGACACTTTTACTGTCATGTGTACATAGCTTTATCAGTTATTTCCTTGACAATATACAAAAATAAAAGGCTGAAACAATGAATAATTTTTAGTATAAATATATCCCAAATCTTACAAGTCATTCATTATTTCATCCACCAGCCCTGGCTATAATGTACTACATCACTTAAGAAATAAAACTTTAATGACTTAGATAAAAATGTTTTAATATTAACTTCCTTCCATATTGTAAAAATGTTAGTCTCTCTTTTCCAATTCTGAAGAATGCTATTCAAATTTAGAAGAATACATCTATTTAAGCCATTCCCTCAAAATTTCTGATAGACAGGCAAAAAAGGTTTGGTTTCAAAATAACAGCATCTGATATTTTAAAAAGTACTTTATAAAATACATGCATTAGAATTTATCTCTGCATTACTGCAAACAGCACAACATAATAAAAACAATAAAAATGTTTGGCTTTACCCTTTATACAATTAAAAATCGTTTTGATCTAAAGGATCAAAAGGTAGGCGACCGTGGATATTCACTAGAACCCTTTGTTTTCTCAACATCTTCATCTGTTTCTGGACTGCTTACCCTGGATGCTTTTTCTTGATTACTTCTATCAGTATCTGTTTTAGATTGTTTGATTTGTATCTCTAGCAGCCGTGATTTCTTGAATTGCCATCCATCATCCATGTCTAATGCTTTACGCTTAATTATCTGCTGTGTACAAGCTTGACTAGCTTCAGGAATGTCAGTGCATTCTACCATTAACGTCAGTTTGTCTACCATATCAAGATGGTGGCTGGTGTTACAGCAAGTTTTAGAAATACGCCTATTTTTCAGAGAGATAACACATGAATGAAGAAATTCAGAATCTGGAAATAAGGTTTGTAAAGCTTGACAAAGAAAAGTGTTCTCCTGAGGTTCTTCTGGGACATTTGTGTCTCCTAAACAAAATAAAACAACAGTTGAACATAAAGTATTTGCTGTGTAATTTTATATAATTAGTTGATAATTTAAAAAAGATTTTAACTAAACAATTGTACCAAATTATCTACAGTAAGAAAAATAAGCTATACATAATCACAAATTCCAATTTATAAATTTTTATCAGACTTTGCAGTGTATTCATATTTTTGGTTTCACTCAAATTTTGTGAGGCCACAGAATATTCTAAAAGAAAATTTAAGTTGTATTCTTTAATATGAATAACATAGCATAGCTATTGTAATACCATGTTCTTTGTTCAGTTCAGCTTAAGACACTAAGATAATGACTACGTTTAACCTCAAGGTGGACAAATTCATTGTAGTTAGTGTGGCTGGCTCAAAAATGAATGCAAATCAGTGAGAATTTTTTTAAAAGCATAGGGAATAATGATGTGGTTAACCTGTTGGTACCTGCTACTTGGATTTGTGCTTGTTTTCTTTTTTTAATTTCTTGTTTTAATTTGTTTACATCTTCCAGTAGTTTCTCTACTGCTCTCTCACTGTGTTCTACTTCTTTGCATATACTCTGCAAAATAAAATATGGGCATAGAATACAGTTTCAAGTTATGTATATAGTCTTGATTCACAAATAATACAAAATCTCTGGCAATACATAATATCAAATACCTTTATATAAATTGCCTTTATATAAATTTTATTGTGCTATTTCCTAGAGACCTTCAATAACAATAAGCACTTGTATGGTGCTGTAATTTATGTGTTACAAAATGCTTTTCAGATGAATGATTTCTCTTTTATCATGTCACTTTCTTTATACATCATAAAAACCTGAAGCAATATTTAACTCAGTTTCCAACTAAAAACATTGTACTATTATAAAGTGAGAGATGCCTACTTACAGCACACATTTAACATTAAGAAACTGACAAAAATGCAACAATGTTTCTACAAGTGTTGTATGTTCTATAAGAATTTCTAGGTATATAGTAGAGCTAACAAGGGACAAGGTTGTAGTCACTTCTTGGCCACAGCTGGCTACCCAGAGGGAACAAGTAGTTAGACCTATGGGGTTGCACAGTCACAGAGGATATCAAGCTCAATTGGCATAACATTCTACATGGAAGCACTGTTCCACATCCTACTTTGGTGATAGCAACTAGGATCTTAAAAGCTTGCAAGCGGCCATCCAGATGCAACAACAGGTCTCTCTTCATCCAGAGCAAATAAAAATGAAGAAAACACATGGAAACAATTAGTCCAAGGGACTGGTACACCATGCGATCCTCAGCCTATAAATCTACGAGACCAGAAGAACTAGATGGTGCTTGGCTACCATTGTCAACCACTCGGAGGGGATCTATGTAGGAGATCCTGGATAGAGTACGAGAATAATGTGGAACAAAACTCACAATCATTAAAAAAAAAAAAAGACCAGGTTTGCTGGTTGATAGAGCCTGGTGAAACCCCTGAGACTATAGCCCCTAGCTGCCCTTCAGGTCTGGAGTTGAACCCAGTCTTGGCATCCAGCCAAAGGACAGGCATATGAGCTCAACTTTTACATTAGGCGGATACGCTCCTTAGAGAGCTCAATCATGGGAAAATAGAAGGGCTGTATATGCAAAGACAGCTTGCGGGGCAGGAGTGCATGGGAGGGAAGGACACAGGGACGAGGTAATTATGGGGAGGAAGTGGGAAGCGAGCTGCTGCATTGTGGGAAATTGCAGTCAATGTCATGAGACAAAGTGTGAACTGTTGTGTGGAAAATGAATTTGCTCTGTAAACTTTCACCTAAATCACAGTAAAAAAAAAAGAAAAAAACTGACAAAAATGAAAATAGAGAAACTATTATTTATTGTTAGGAAAGCAAACTATTGATGTTAATTCCTATATGAGAAAGTATTTTTGAAAGCAATCTTGCTTTATATGTCATCAGTTTTAAAAATATAATTACTTTGACTCAGTAATTACACTTTGGGACTGTATCTTAACTAATGCGCAAAAATTTATATAAAATTTAGTATAATATCAAAACAAGTAACTAATGTCCAATCATAAGGACATAAATTTTAAGTTATTACAGCCAGTGTTAGTGGATACTTCTGAGGTGTCTGCCCAGCTTATTTCTCATGGAACTTGTTCATCCTGCTTAGAAGAGTTGGCCAGTATTCCCCTCACCTTTTTCTATACCCTACCTTTGACTACTTTTACCTACCTGAGGAGCTCTGGTGGCTTAGTGCCTAAGGCATTTGACTACTAATCAGAAGGCTGGCGGTTCAAACCCACCAGCCACTCCTTGGAAGGAAGATGGTGCAATCAACTTCTGTAGTTGATACTGCCTCAGAAACCCAAGGAGGGGTCACTATGAGCCTGATCCAACTCAACGGCAGTGAGTTTAGTCTTTGGTTTTACCTAGCTGACCCAAGTGGAACCAATTAGGTAGTCTCCTGGTAATTTGGAGATATTACAAAGTTAATCAGTAAATCCTAATCTCTTCAATAGAAGAGATCTAAACATAGAAACTGTGGTCTACCAATAGATGAAGACAAAAAACATCTGTAGAGAAATGAGGAAGGAAATCAGTGTGCAGAAACAAAGTTCTAAAGGCTTTCCAGCTCTTAATTTTAATTCTTTCCTGAAGCCCACAGTTCATGTGACATACCTCTATATTCCTCCATGTTACCCTAAGTTCGTATTTTTAACTGGAGTTCTAATGTACTGCTCTACGAAATATGTTGTTGTTATGTGCCGTGGAGTTGGACCCAATTCAGAGCGACCCCTCCTTGGGTTTCTGAGGTGGTATCACTACAGTAGATCACCCAAATTTCCTCTTGAGGAATGGCTGGTGGGTTTGAACTGCCAGCCTTCTGGTTAGCTGTCAAGTACCTTAGGCACTATGCTACCAGAGCTCCTTTAAGAAATATACTGCCATTAAAAATGACTAAAGATTAACTGTAGCAACATGAAAAATGTTTGATACAGCAAATGAAAAATCATGATACAAATTTATATAGCCCATGACTGTCAACTATATAGAGGTATACAGGAAGTCCCCAGGGTTATAACTGTGTCTTTAAGAATTTATAGGTCAGTTAGAACATGTGCACAAGGTTCTTATTTAGCCTTATTTTAGTGCAAGAAAAAGCTGGACTATATGACCATGAGACCACAACTAGATGGTGCCTGGCTACCACTGCCAACCACCAGAAAGGGATCCGTGCAGATGATCTTGGATAGAGTGGGAGAACAACGTGGAACAAAACTCAAAATCATAAAAAAAGATCAGGTCAAATGGTCTGATAGAGCTTGATGAGACCTGAGACTATGGCCCCTAGTTACACTTCAAGTCTGGAGTTGAACTCACTCCTATGGCTGACAACCAAATAGACAGACATATAGGGTGAACATTTACATCATGTAGATGCACTCCTTAGAAGGACCGATCATGGGAATATGCAAAAACTAAACTCACTGCTGTCGAGTTAGATCCACTTCATTGTTACCCTTCCTTTGGATTCTGAGGCAGTACCACTATGGAAGTAGATTGCCCAACTTTCCTTCTGAGGAGTCCCTGGTGGGTTTGAACTGCCAGCCTTCTGATTAGCAGTCAAATGCCTTAGGCACTGTGCCACCAGAGTTCCTACAGAAGGGCAGTATTTGCACAGGGAGATAGCTCTGGGGCAGGATTGCATAGGAGAGAGCACAGGGAAGAGATTAACTACAGGGAGGAAGTGGGAAGAGAGCTGTTAACATTGTGGGGAACTGCAGTCAGTATCATGAAACAAAATGTTTATGAACTGCTGTATGGCAAATGAATTTGTAAAGTTTCACCCAAATCATAATAAAAATGTATAAAAAAGAGAAAAGGCTGGAAGCCTTTTCAATGATTTAAAAGCTCCACAGGCAGCAAGTGAAAGTGATGTTGATGAATAATTTATTGTGAGCAGACGTTGGTCCAATCATTTCAAAGTGAATGCAAATTTACATACTACTAAAGGGTAAGTACAAATTATCCCCAAGTTGGACATTTGTAACACAGGGACTATATGCATTAGGAAAAAAAAAATGGAAGAGAGTGTGGCAAAGTGAAAATTATGTTAATATTTGGGATTCTGTATTACCATTCAAAAAAAAAAAGGTGTGTAGTAGTAAAAAACCGAACCAAACTTTCTTAGTGTTTTGACACTGTTAAGTGTATTGGCCACAGAAATACACCCCTCAGATCTCTTGCTGGGCGAGCACAGTTGACTTTCAACCCCAGCTGCTACTGTTTGTGCTTAGGCTAAGCCTCCTCCAGGCTGCTTCCAGTCAATGGTTTAGCACCGTGTGGGTATTAGTGCAAGTCCATTCTTCCAGGACCGGGAATTCCTCTAACAGGCTACTTTGTTTCAAAGACTCCTGTCTTAGCCGAAACTTTCCCAGAATGGCATTGCAGACTGAGACTCTTCCTACCCTCATTTACTCAGGTTTCAGATTTAAATGGATTCTAACAGTTCTTCTGTTTACCTGCTCTGTGTACTGTATCCTCCTCAGGCCAACAAATCTCTTATACACCTAAACTCATTTTGATGTCTACTTCTCAAAACACCCAAAATGACACAATTTAAGATACAACTTAATGCAGTGGTATATTGTATTGTTCTCCCTTTATTCTGTGAAAGGATTATATCTTTCTGCCTATTGCTATGGGACTTGCTTTGGTCAATGAACTGTGAATGGAAGTAACATGTCAATTCTGAGCAGAAGTTTCAAGACCCATTGTGGATTTCCACCAACTTTCTTGCTCTTTCCTTTTGCTATGAGAATAGCATGTTCCAGATAAGGACTGCTCCTTTAGCTCAGATCCTGGACTGAAGATATTTGGAATAGGAGTAGAGCTGCAGCCAACATTTGAGTATAAATAAATCTTTTTCCTTGTAAGCTACCAAGATTTTGGAGTCTTTGTTACTGCAGCAGTACTGACTAAACCTCCTCACTTATCAACTATTTAGTTATCTGACACTGCACATTTATGATGATAAAAAAATCTACTATCAGGCTATTTTGTCCATTAATAACATACATCTGGCAATAATGAATGCCGATATGTAAGGTGAGAATAACACTGGCTGTGATGGTTTAAGGTTATGTGTCAATTTGGCTAGGGCATGATTCTTAGTAGTTTGGCAGTTATGTAATGATGTGATCATCCTCCACTTTCACTTAATACCAATTTTTGCATTAACAACCTGGTGTTTGGAACCTAACCACATCAATAAGGAGTGATTTTAACAGAATAATATAAATCTAACAAAAATGTCAGGTTATTCTAAAAATTTTCATAATGATCAATTTTGATGTGAACTCTAGAAATGGTCTTTAAGTGTTTGGTATTTTAACTTACCTTTAACTCCTCTTGTAACGAAGCATACATTTCATTTATCTTATGTACCTCCTTTAAAGATCCATCTTCTTCAAAAAATTCAGAGCTATAAAAAAATGCCATTTCCTTGGGTAAACGGACATAACTCATTTTAATGATAAGGTGGAAAATTTATACATGGGGATTAAGGAAAGGTTCTTTTTTACAGGCTTTGTAGGGACTATTAATTTGTCAACCTACCTGCACACAGCAAAACCAACCTAAACATCTTCTTAACTTCATACTTAAAAGTATGTTAATACTTTTTAGCTTCTTAAGTACTATTCCAGTCATAAAAAAGAGGTTAAGTAAAATAAAGATTGTAGAATGGAGGAGAATAAAAGGTTCCTTTTTTGGCAGTTGGGACAGGCATCAAAAAAAATTATATATCAAACTTAAGTCAACACTGATTGAAATAGGAACTGATTTTATGTACCACAAAGAAAAACAAATACTACAGAAGACATGGTTTAGAATCAATGAAACATGGTATTCAATTCTATATATAGTACACTACTAAATACTGTGAAGACACAGACACAAGTAAAACCTAGTCCTTTAGCTTCATGTTTATACTCTAGCAGGTATCCTGTAGTACCAGTGTTGCTGTTTGGAATATGAATTATTCCTTTACTTAATGGCTACAAAAAAGTTATCCCTAAACATCCTATAGTATGAGTGAGAGTGATGGCTAAAGCCTGATTTTTTAAAAAATTTAATATACAGTCTAATTCATGGCTTTAATATTAATTTTGGAAAATTAATATCATTTTGAAGCTATTTATTCTACCCTAGAATAAGTATATTAAAATGTGTAGGATGTGCAACAAACTTCTCCCCTGCTTTTTGTTAAATTTAATTTTCTTTGATCTATACATGGGCAAGTGCTAGAAGGAAATATAGACAAAGTAAAAACTGTTTAGTTCACTAGAGTAATGTGATCATTACTCAGTTTTCTTCTCACTTTTCTTCTGCTGTTGTTTGGACAATAAAAAATTAATTTCAGAAAAAGAACAAGAGTTGTATGGGGAAGGAGTTGAAGAATCTCACCTGTGTGTTTTTACTGCTCGGCTAAAACCAGTAGACATACAGGAACCTGATACAGTTTTATAACCCAGTTGTTCAGACATGCCCAGATTGGCGACCACTAAAGGTACCCTATGAAAAAGTCTGAAGACATAAGTTTTAAAATATAAATAACAAACTGGAAGGTTAGCATCTATTATAGTCTATATATAAAAAATATTTACTAGACTACTTTTCCTATACAAGTTTAAAAGATAAACAAAAAACTCCCATTCCTTACTGCGTAACCAAGAAAGCATTTACTGACCCGAGGCAACTGACTTTTGAAAGTTATAAAATGTGCATGGAATAATTGTGTGTGTGGGGGAAATGGCTATTTTAATTATAAAAAAATAAGTATTGATATGACATTTATCTCTTCTGCAAATAATAAAATTAATTTTAGTGGAATTCTTGTATTTCATACAAATGTAGTTTATACAACTGCAGTGCAGAGGACTGTTTAGTATGGCTCTTCCAGCCATAGACTTCGTGGCTCTCAAGGATGACTGGGTAGAACTATGTAAATGTGAGGTGCTTGTGGCCCACCAATGGGATTGGATAGCTTGTTAACAATGTAAATGGCACGTGTGGGGCGTTTGAGGGGTGGGACTGTACATGGGGTGTGTGAAGCCTTGATGTGGGGATTGGTCAGTTTCGTCAATCCACTGGGCTTGGAATAGGCCTTCCCAGAGCGGAGGAGGTGGATCTCACTGCCATCAAGAGATAAGGTGCAGTGGAGCTCGTCCTTAAACCCAAGACCCCTGTGTTGAGATAGCAGAGAGAAAGCCGCATCAGAACCAAGATACTGGCACAAAACGGAGGTGGGCTTGTCAGCCCATGGAGTGAGAAAGCTGAATGCTTCTGGGCAGGAGGCTTGCAGTGGAGTGGGGTGTACCTATCAGCAAAGCTAAAAGAGCTCTATAACACTTCCACAAGCAGGGGAGAGCCCAGGCCAAGAAGGTAAAAGGCCAGAGACATGCATGCCTATGGGCATGGCAGAGGAGAGGCTGTCCTGATCAAATAACTGTATCATTCTTAAACCTAAATTGTAACCTGTTGCTTACCTAATAAACTCCATAATCATGAGTACTGTCTGTGAGTTCTGTGTACCCACTGCAATGACTTATCAAACCCAGCAGAGAAGTAGAGTGCTGTGGATGGACTTAGAATTGGTTAAAAAACTGGTCTTAGAATTGGTTAAAAAAGAAAAACAGTTGGAGAGTGGCAGCATGTCTGACCTTTTTCACAGGGATCAGCCTTGGGATGATGCTTATGGTGATTCTGTTTTCCCCTTGTGAAATCAGAGAAGGTTGGAGGACACCACCTCCATGTCCTTTTCTGCAACAACCTATGGGGAATCCCTGTTAAACTCATTTTGGTGGATCATTGAGAACCACCTCTACTGCTTTGCAGAGACTGTTAGAAAAGGTGCTCAAGTACCCAGGCTTAAGTTCAACATTATATCCTTTATCATCCAAAATGTAAAACACAAATATTTTTCCTACTTTTAATAAGCATATCTTCAGTGTCAGAATAGTAAGTCAGCTTTCCACACTGGGTTTCCTTATCTGACTTTCATTTTTCCATGTATAAAGAATAGATGATAAGACCTACCTCAGAGAGTTATTGGACAATCTAATTTGACTACCTGGTAAGGTAAAAAGTACCATAAAAACATTAGAAGTATTTTTCTATCAGCTTCCAATAGCCAATGACTGGCCAAAATTTACCCTTCTTGAGGTTTATGTAAGGCATGTTCCAACCGATGAGTAGAGCAGCTTTCTGTTGTTATACTTGGTGTTAGTAGCAGAAAAACAAGTTCCTGGTTTGAAAAATGCTTCATTAAGTTTTTGTGAAGCAGTCTCTCTCTGAATGTCATAATCTGATCTGAGTGACGTCGGAATTTGTACCAACCTACCACATTCTGAAAAAATACAGAAAAAATATCAGGTGTGTGTCTTAATGGATATAATTATTTTGTGTCTTACTGCTATAATTAAGCAGAAAAACTGACAACCTTAAAAGATGACTTTCTTAATGTTTAGGAAGATAGCATATACTTTACTTTTATAAAGTATGCAAACTGACCTTCAGTTAAATTACTTCCCACTCAGTTACAGTGTTTCACTGGAATTTTGTTCAAGATAGAGTAGGGGAGAAAGTAGATTCTAAATGTCCTCTAGTTTCTTTTATAACACTTGTTAGCTCGAAATCTTACTCCTTAGTTAAAATTTAAATGAAATAAATGCCAGCACCATTTTTCACTTAATAGTCAATCTCTTCCTGAAAATAAGTTAACTTCTATTATGGAAACTTAGTTTGTTAAATAAGTAAGTTGGATCTGTATTTTTTACCTGAGATTTAGAGGAGGATAATAGAGAGTTAATTTTGAGACAGAATAAAATCATGTTTAGGGACTTGTAAAGTGTAACATGGTACCCAAATATGTTGTATTAATAAATCTAATTTGAATGGAAAAATAAAATTTTTAGTAATTAGAAAAAAAATTTTGATTGCTTAGCAATCTGACATGTTCAGCAACTAAGTTTTATATTTGCATATGTTTAAACTGAAGAAATTAAAATTACTTCTTTTCTTCTTAAAACATTTTTATAGGTGTATTTTAAAATACGAAATAAAATTGGAAAAAAAGCCTAAGCACTTTCAACAGAGGATTATAAAAAATAATTCCTATATTGAAACCACTATTATTCTCAAATCAGAGAGCAAAAAGTTTTAAGAGGAAATATATGGTACCTAGAAAAAATTTTTTACTTGGAAAAAAAAAATCCATTTTCATAATTTAACATTTTAACTGAATATCAAGTATGCTGTGGGGGATTCAAATTAAGTGCTGTATAGTCCCTGCAATATAAAAAATAGTAACTGCAAGCTAAGGAAACTAAACATAGATGTTTGTCTCTTTAAAATAACAGTAATAGATTAAGTGCTAAAATAAATGAAGAAGTAAAGGAAGAGATCAATACTAATGATCACAGTGAAGGAAAGATAAGGACAAAACTCACTCATTTTGTTTTCAGAGCAATTCCTTTCAATTTCTGTAAAACACAATCCTTTCTTTACATGCCTTATGAGATATTATGAAAATAAATACTGCTTAAAACTTCTGTCAAAGTATTCACATTTATAGGAGCCAAAAATAATGCATATAAGTACCCTTACACCCTCCAAAAATTACACAGGTGTATCAGGAAATTTTATGATTACTTGACATAAAACTATAATACCTTTTTGACACTAGATAGTATTTTCTTCAGTGCTTGCTCATTTACTTCACCTAAAGAATTGTAAAACCTGTAAAAGCGAAAAAGGCCACAAAATTAAAGACATTTCAAATAAGCTAAAAGTATAAATGATTTTATTAGTCCTTCATATTTTTGTTACTCGTAACCAAACTACCCAGCCAAATCCATGCACCCATTTGCCTGAGATGAAATCCTAAAATAAAATTGTAAAATTAATAGACTTAAAGTGGTAGAAACATTTAAGTCGTTAAGCAGTGATAAAGGAAAACAGGTGGAGAAACTTATCAAGGGAAAAGTCTAAGCATCTCATTTTTTACCCTAAAACAAGAGAAGAAACTACCCACTAAATACAGATGTTAGAAACTAAGCTCTTCATACAGCCACTATGTAATTCATGCATAATTTATTAAAAATGTTTTTTACAATATTGATACATATAAAAAACACAACATGAGTTATGAAGCAAAATAACAAAAGAACAACTTACTCAGTGCTAATCTATTTTAGAAGTAAGACAACAAAGCCAAGCCAAATCTCTAAAAAGCTGTATTTGTATCAGATGACAGTGGTTTCACGGGTAGTTACTTTTTAGGGGGTTAGGTGTGAGTTTAGCAGTCTTTGTTCTGTAGTTATAATGTCAAAGATGTAGGAAAAATAGGATGATAATGGCTAAAGATTCCAAAGCATTTATTACTTCCAGCTTTTTTTCCCTTCCAAAATAACTGAAGATTGCAAATACTATGTTCTTCCTTTTAGTATTCATTAAGATCAACATTGCTATTTTCTATGATGCTAAAATATCTTTCTTATATAAAATCCTCTATAAATAACATTTATTGGAATAGGCTTTTACTGATGATTCTAATTTGTATACTGCAAAAATTTTGTCACATAAAACTGAAAAAAAAAAAGACCTTGATAGGCAAAATGTTTTTGTTGTTGTTTACTTAAAAGCACTTACATTAAAAATTTCCCATTAAAAAATAACATAAAAATAGACAAAATGTTCTACCTACCAAAGGAGGCTATTAGGCTGATCAAACTGATCCCTCCATTTCACCCATATATAGTTCCTACAGGAAAACTCTAAATACAAGAATTTATTCATCTATTGCTTTAGCACGGTCCACAGCTGAACTTCTCCAACTGGAGCATTAAGGTACATAAGAAACCATAGGATAGCAGTGTACATCTTCTATAGAAGAATCAATTTTACTTAAAGTTTTTGGGGGAGATATGGTGTATTTTTAAATAGAAATAAACTATGCAGTAGAAATGTAAACTGCACAATTTTTTTTTCTGTTTTAAAAATTTTTTATTGTGATTTGGGTGAAAGTTTACAGAGCAAATTCATTTTCTGTACAGCAGATCACATACATTTTGTCTCATGACATTGACCAGTTTCCAACAATGCAACAGTTCCCCTCCCATTTCCTCCCCATAATTACCTCTTCCCTGTCCCTCCCACATACTACTGTCCCCCCAACCCCAGCTGTCTCCCAGCCCTTCTATTCTCCCATGATTGCTCTCTCCAAGGAGTTTATCTACCTAATGTAAATGTTCAGCTCATATGTCTGTCTTTTGTTTGGCTGGAAGCCACAGGAGTGGGTTCAATTCCAGACCTGAGGGGCAGCTAGGGGCCATAGCCTCAGGGGTTCCCACCAGGCTTTATTAGACCAGCAAACCTGGTCCCTTCCCCCCCCCCCTTTTTTTTTAAATGATTTTCAGTTTTGTTCCACATTGTTCTCCCTATCTATCCAGGATCTCCTACATAGATCCTCCTCCGAGTGGTTGACAGTGCTAGCACGGTGTGCATATATCTGTTCTTGTCTTGGTTCTCAACTTGTTTAGGATATATACCTAGTAATGGAATTGCTGGGTTTCCCACATTTTTGCTGGTCCTATACTTAACCAAACATGATGTCCTTTACTGATGTGTCCAAAGTAAGTGAGCTGAGGTCTCTCCATCCTAAGTTTGGACTTCAATGGGCTATTTCTCAGGTCCTTCCCCAGACTTCTTAGTTAAGCAAATCAGTTTCAGTGTATTACAGTAGGGCTGGCAAACTCTTTAGTAAAGGGCCAAATAGTAATTATTTTAGGCTTTGCAGGACACATACAGTCTTTGTTGCATATTGCTCTTATTTTCTTACAACTTAAAAGATGTAGAAACCATTCTTCGCACAAGGGCCATACAAAAACAGGTCACAAGGGCAATACTATGCCAATGCTTGTAGGAGAGCATAAAAATGGGTATAAAGCTTACTGAACTTAGACCCTAAGAAGTGTGGTATCAGAAGATTCTGCTTTTTAACATGTTCACTATATTATTTTTAACAGGAAACAACAGCATCGTGTACTGAAAAGAGCTCTGAATAGAAACTGAGAAATCTGATTCTTCTCATTTTTGTCCTACTATTAACTTAGCTCTTTGGCCTTGATTAAAACATTAACTTTCTAGATCTATTATTTTGTGGTTAAGCAAAAATGTTAATAACCTGAAAAGTGGTTCTCAGTCTGCCCCCTTAACCCCTTTGTTCTGTAAGAGCTAAAAAGCTCAAGCATAGGTTTTTCATAACTGGATAATGAGAAACTCATAATCGCTCCAGCTCTAAGCCTAGTAAATTGGTCTTATTAAGATCTTAGTATTATTGATTAGTAATATCAATAGATATTGAATCAGTCACTTTCTTTTCACTCTCCCTCTTAATCTTTCACTGGTCCAGAGGATCCCTTAAGGCAGTCTAACCAAGAATCCCTCAGCCATTCAACAAATATTTTATTATGCCCATTTTTCCTAAGGCACTACAGAAGCTGTACTTTTCTGGTATAGCAGTTTATGACTACAGCTTTTTCTACCACTATTCAACCAAAGATCTTTCTCACGTTAGTCATATGCTCCATGACAGCTCTTAACACAACCTTTGTGATGTTTACAGTGACTAAGTGACCATAAGATAGTAATACTTTTTTTCATGTATGGTTTATATAAATCATAAAACTGTTTTATTAAAACTACACCATATGCTGATTACATGGATGTTTTTATGTTTATGTTATAGCTCAATAAAAAGTATTTAAAATTACAGTATAGTAAGGCTAACAGTACTACTACCATCTGTAGACCTAAGAACTAAAGCTTTCTTCCTAGAAGGCAAATGAAAGAAAGTCAGGTGAAGAACCTAACCGGTTAACAGGAAAAAGATAACATTAAAAAAAATGATAAATGAAGAAATAATTGGTAAAATAAACAGGAATAAAAGGGTAGGAATAAATGGCTGCTGTTGATTATCTATGAGATTGTGTCAGAGAGAGTTTATAATATGCAATGGAGTGACTTGGTATGAAAAGGAAAAGCAATCACCAAGGTAAAGCTTGTACCTAGGAAAAGCAGTGGAGACAAGTTAAAAGTAAGGAATATAAATGCAAGATAAATAACCAGTAGATAGGACTGACAAAGCCCAGGTGAATTTTCAGGTATTAAATACATATATTTTCATTTTCATCAGCATCACCATACATATCTGGTAACAAAGATATTTGCTAATTTTAAAAATCACTTCACTTGTATAGAATAATTTCCATGATGACCATTTCCTTGCTCTTACTAATATTACTCACCTAAAAAGCTGATAGCATGGAATGTACTTCTGAATGTCTGAGGAAAAAAGGATTTATAATTATGATTACATTAATAAAATTGTCATTTAAATAACATATACTGTACTCTTACTTCATGCCAGAAAGCACATTACCATTGACTGTGTCATTTAATCTGTAAAACAAACTTGTGAGATAGATGCTATCATTCTTTGCATTTACATATGAGGCAAGAAACAAAGAGAAATTAAGTGGTTCACCCAACTCCCAAATCAGTGGTGGGCAGGTCAAATTCAAATCTTGAGGCTCTTCACAACCACATTGCTGTATTCCTTCTAAATAATGGTTCATTCACTTCAGTGCAAAAGTTCAAAGTTCTAAATTTTCACTGAGTTCTAAGGAAGTTATTATGCACTAATTTTACCCAACTGATAAAAGCAACTGTTAAAGGGATTATCTTTTGTCATTTTAAGTGGTTTTTAATGAGATTTGTCAGTGTTATCTATAAACTAAAGAATCAAAAAAAAATCTTTTAAGTTTTATTCTCCTGTCAATAGTAATTTAAATAGGAAAAGTGATCATCCTCTTTAGACATTTTTCTTCTAGCAAATGCACCTATTACCCTCAGATAAATCCTGTCTGGAAAAATCACTAAGAACAATCTTTGTAACTCATAACTGGCAAACCATACTCTGTTGTACATACGGGAAAGTATAAAAATAATGGAAATGCCATCTCTACTTAACCAAAGTAATATAGCAAAGTATCAATCTTGGATTTTGTATGTTAGTAATCTGTTTTACAGTAATTCAACATTTTAAAATAATTCGCATAAATACTGAAGTGTTCCTGTAGCACACTTGCCTGGTACCTTAATGGTGCCTAGCACAATGTTTGTTGTTATGTGCCATCGAGTTGGCCCGACTCATAGCAACCCCTCCTTGGATTTCCGAGGTGGTATCACTATGGAAGTAAATTGCCAACCTTCCTTCCAAAGAGTGGCTAGTGGATTTGACCC